ATGTTATTTTGCTTTTTCATGGTACTATTTTTTCTCTGTGATTTTGACATGTGATTTTCTTTTGTAGTTTCTGATTCTTGTATGAGACTCAAGCCTTCAAGTTTAGGTCTGCTTATTTTTGTGGACTTTATGTGTCTTTGTGGTTTACTTTTTGAGCCTGAAAAGCTGGTTCTTGTAAGCTTCTAGTTCTCTCTTTTGATTTTATTTTGGAGTGGCCAGATTGCTTTTGTCTTCAGGAGTTCCCACAGAGGCCCAAGTCAGATGAGGATCAGATGCTCTCAGGCTTTTCCCAAGGTCTTGATCCCTCACGGAAAGATGTTGACTTCACGAACTGGGGGTTGGATTGGCCTGGGAGAAGGGCCCAGGGAAGTTGCTGGTCTTGGGCTGCTGGTGGCCGTGACACCCAGAGACGCAAAGGGAAATGGGGGCCAGAAGAGGCCCCTAGGGCTCCTGGAGACCAGGAGAGAGGCCAGTGGGTTGTGCAGGCCCAGGGAATCAGAGGGAGGTCCCCTGTTTTGTGTTTTAACAGAGTATCCCGTTTCCCCAGTCTACCTGGAACTCACTGTGTAGGTCAGATCTCACAGAGACCTGTCTGCTTCTGCTGCCTGAGATATGAGATTAAAGGCATGTGCCACCATGCCCAGCATGTGTCTCAGATTTTTATATTGCATTTTCCTAATAAATACTGCTATTGAACATCTTTCATGTGCTTATTGTCATCTATAGTCTCCTCAATGAAATGAGTTCTCTTGTCTTTTGTCCTTTTTCTAACTGGATAGATTTCACAGCAGACTCTTGAAAGTTCTTGACACTAGTCCTTTGTCTCAAATGTTTTGCCAACAACTTCTCCCAAGTTAACTTGTCTTGTCATCTGCTTAGGAGGTCTTTTATAGGAAAAAAAAAAGTGCTTTTTAAAAAGTACAACTTTTCTTTTCACCCACTTATAAATCGTGATCTGATCACCAAGTCCTGATATCTTACAGGAAAACCCTACTTCTTGACTATTCCCTATATTTATTTTCCTAAGTGTTTTACAGCTGCATATTTTACCTTTACGTTCCTGGTGGATTTTCAGTAAATATTTGTATGAGGTGGGAAATTTAGGCCAAGATGTATTTCATCTTCATATGCCTACTACATGGAACCACACTTGTGTTCAATGGGTATCCAATTTCATGTAGGCATAGTGACTCCTGCCTTGAGAGATCCCATTATGTGGAAGTAAGAGGCAGGAGAATCCCAAGTTAAGACCACCTTGAGCTACCTACTGAGTTCCAGGCTGACCTGGGATATACTGTGAAAGCCTGTCTCAAAAAAAAAAAAAAAAAAAACCTAACTCTACTAAACTGCCTTTGTGCCATAGTCAAAAATTAGTTGAGCATGGTTTTGTATGTTTGTTTCTGTTCTCTATTGTTTTTTACTGCTCTGTATGTCCATCATTTAATGAAAATATATAAGAAGTCTTATTATAGGGTAGAATTATTTTCTTCAACATTAATAATATTTTAAAGAACTACTTTAACAATTCTAGGTCCTTTGTATTTCTACTTAAATTTATATATAAAAGATCTTGTCTATATGTATAAAAGATCTTACTATAACTTCAGAACTTTTAAATCTGTAACAGAACATATATACACATATATGTATAATTGTACATAGATACATATATCAACATTGAGTGCTCCACTCTGTGAACGTGGTGTGCTTCTCCATTTATTTATATACCCATCTTTTCTTTGATAATTGTTTTATAGTTTTCATGCTATAAATAATGTACAATGCCACCTTTACACATATTTGTTTCAGGTTTTTAAGCACTAATAAATTTTTGTATCCATCCATCACTTGCTTTACTCATAGGTCTGATTCTTATCTCTTCCATATATTACTTTCGCATTTTTCATTAAGACTTTACTCTTTTTACTTTGGTACAGAAATGTTTAAAGGTTGAAGACTTGCACACTGGTTTCATAGAATTTTTTAAATTGTGTTGATCATTTCTCTTTTACATTTTATGATGGTTGTTTTAAAATCTTTGTCTTAAAGTCCTAATATCGCTGACATCCTTATGTTAGAATCTATTGACTGACTTTTTTCATTTAGTTTAAAATTCTTCTGTTTCCTAGTGTGGAGAATGATATTTGGCTCAAGTCTGGTATTTGAATGCTAGCCTTCAAATTCTAGAAATTATTTAAGACCCCATTTTAGGTGTCCTCTTATGACACAATTCAATAGGAAAATGAAGGTAGAAAAGCAATGCTTTGTTACTGCCTGGTGGGCACAGAGGTAAGCTTCCTCATTTTGATATTCTACTTTTCCTTGTGGTCTTCCTTGTCACTGAGGAAGAAGCAGCACTCCTTAAGATGAGGTGACAAACACAAGGATGCAATTGTGAAATCTTAGAATTCTTCCTCATTTTGTTATTAAATTTTGCCACTATGGGAAACAATTTCTGTGTCCCTGGTTTCCTAAAATAAAAGGAATATTTTATATTAGGCTAAAATATTTTGTTCCATTTAAATACTCTATGATTAATTAATTAAATGAACATTAAAATTCTGGAATATCCCAGCACCCACTGGCAGCTAACAACTGTCCGTAACTATAGTCCCAGGGGATCTGACAGCCTCTTCTGACTTCTATGGGCACTGCATGACATGTATGCACTTACCTACATGCAGGCAACACATGCATACACATAAAATAGAATAGAACAGAACAGAATAGAATAGAATAGAATAAATAATAAAATCCATAATATCAATAATTTTGGATATATATCAAATCAATTTTATATTCATAGTCGTACTTTAATTTGAGACATACTTTTAGTAGAGAAAACATAAAGAAATGGAGGAAATATTTCCTGTTTTAGCTTATGAAGTTGCTGTCAAGTTATGATTGGAAAGATTTTTTTGTACCCTTGATTTTCACAGCCTAAGATAGCCCTCTACCTGCAGCAATATTACTTGATGAAATTGGTATATAGAGTTCCTGAATCCCAGCTTCTATCAATAAAAACATTTTTTGATATGAAATCTGAGAACCAGTTTTTAAAATCTAGTCCTGAACCAATGAATCACCACTATAGGCTTCAATAAACTATATTCAATCTTCAAGAAAAAATGAATTTTGATATTTATCTAAAGTTAACAATAAATCAAAAAAATTGAAATTGTGGTAAAAAATTATTGAAATTCTGGCCATCAATTCCAGGACATATATTGAGAAGAAATAGAATTCCAGCATAGAATTGGGAAAATGGGTAGCAGACCCCAACTTTATCCAAGGAACTAGTGGCAGCTTATTACTGCTGGGGGAGGAAGAGCCGATCTTCTTAAAGGGAGTGACTCTAGATATACTGACTAAACTACAGTGGATGAACTTCCACCAGAGGACATTTGGGTATACAAACTCGACTCTACAGGTCTTCATATATATGACAGAATGAATGAAATCTGGTGGGGGTGCAGATGATGGAGAGGATCTAAATATGATTAGGATATATTCTATGACATGCACAAAAATTCAGTAAAAATATACATTGAGGAAAAAATTCTCATTGTGAGCTATTTCATGATACTTCAAGGGTTTGATTTCTATATGTAAGGCAAGAACAAAGAGAAATTGAGTTTATTGTTTGGTACAAATGGTAAAAGATTGCTTTATCTTACACAAAGAAAATATTTCAGGAATATTAACTTTAATCCTCTCAATCACATGGAAAAAATAATCTGCAATCAATTACAACTAGGAAGTACATGACATATGGAACTATAGAGCATTCATGCAATAGGATAAAACTCAAAAATAATGTGCTCTCCATCAAAATCTCTTCTTATGTACATAATGCTGACTTATATGGTTAAGCATATTTTCCAAATGAGATGTTCCATAACTGTTCAGTACACTCCAAAAAGATATGATGCCAAGTAGCTTAGCACATTAGTGTGCCTTTTGAAAGCACTAAAGTTTAAAAGATATAGGAAATAACTTATGCTACTTTGAGTATATTCCAACATGGTGTTTACCTTAGAGAAAAAAAAAATTACTGGGTATCTGTTATCCACCTGATGAAAGAATTATACATAAAAAAGGTGTTTGTTTTAAAGAATATCACATGTGGAAGCCAGATAAGTAAATTACCTAATCATGAAAATATTAGTTAACTGATGTTTTTGAGAGCAAAATACAGAACCTAAATGAGCCAAGTTATATTTCCATTTTAATCCAACAATCCCGAGGTTAGATGCTCTTTAATTGAAGCCATCGATGGCTGCAATATGTGCTTGGAATTCACATTTAGATTTTATAACAGGAACTCAGACTTGGTAATGAATAAAATTAGCTTGTGCTTGTAAGCAAGAAGAGTTTTCCTTAAGATGTTGGATGATTAAAGACTTGTTGCATGACTCAGAATTTCTTGACTGCTTTTACTTCCTAAGAACTTTAAAATTACATTCATAGCATGTGTGTACACACATACATGCACACACACACAGAGACATGCAAGAACTCACAGTACTACTGCTTTTATTATATTAAGTGTTCTGAATTAATGAACATCAAAAATTAATATCAAACTATTGGATTTTTTCCATTTATTTCCTTTATCTTAGAATATTTGTTTTAATTAAATTCAGAATATTCTAGGAAAAAATTACCTTGTTCACCATATGCTTTGCATTATGCACATATTAATCAATAATATTTCAGATTAAAACTTTAAAGAAAATTATTTTGAGATAAATGCAAAAAAACACAAGCATGATGTTCTTTCTAATGAAAGAAATTTGCATGCACGCTTTCTCTGACGAATGTAATAATTTAGTTAGGATATAATCCTGAAACATGTTCTCAGGACAGAATGAATCTATTAGTGCAGTTAAGTATTTGCAGAACTTACTCATTTCCAAATACTTTACTAATGCTGGAAACAAGACAATTCCTGGCTTGTAAAAGAGAACAAACCACCCTAAAACATCTGGCATACTTACACACTTTTCACTGTCAAATACATAGCACAAATGTTTATTTGACTCAGAATCTTTGCATATGAAAGTAAATATCCTCTTGTCAGTTTTATCATCTGCGCAAAATGATATTCTGTGAAGCTGGCAGTTGTGTTGGACTTCCTGTGAACACAGACAGAAATAAATGTAGTTGACAGGATTTCTTCAGACTTCTGAAATGGCAACTGTGTTAATAATGTATCTTATGATTTTAAAAGTGTAGCAATTATCTGTTACACTTTGTTCTTATAATTGATATACCCCAAACTTTAAAAGGAATACTTAGTGGAGATGGACCTCCTGACTCAGAGTTGAATCAAGATATTCATTCCAGTATTACTTACAAAAACACATGACAAATACAAGAGTATCAGAGGTTCAAAGACTTTTTGAGTTACACAGTATCTTAAAAGACCATGTTTCTTAAACCTTTAAACTTTACATAAGAGAATATCAAGGCCCAAAGTGATTAAAATATCTCCAGAAGTGTATAGAAGTAGAACACTCTTCACTCAAATTATTTTCATTCTCTGTCACTGCTGATAACTATCATTACACTTTAGAGCAGAGCTTCATCTGCATGAAATTATCATGAACCCCAATACCATTGAATCCTTGTCTTTCTTATTAAATCCCAGATCTTTGGGATTGACATTTAAATTTTTATCTACAACTGAGGTAGTGTAGGGTTGCTCATGGAGCAGCCTTCAAATGATTGAATCAGAGTTGCTAGTAGGTAGAAGGACAAGTACTCAACCAGAAAAACATAGTGCAGTAAACAGACATACACAGATACACAGACACACAGTCACATGCATACACACACAATTACACACAGACACAGATACATACACACTCAGACACACTCACACATCACATACACACACAGACACATAAAGACACACACATTCACAAACACAGGCACTGAATAATAAAATTCAGAATCATCATCTGTATTTATTCATCTCTACAATTTTCTGAAACATGTTGTAGGTAGAAAATAAATTTATGCTTTTATTTAACTAATTAAATATAATAAAAATTCATTCTGCTTTCTATTATGGCTATATACATCTTTTGTTTCAAAACTCATTATAACACTTATATCAATCAGTTACTTTGGTCACCCACATTATTCAGTCATGTAAAATATTAGATATGCAAGCAATTATGGTTTCATTCAAGGAAGACTGCATGAATGTTTTTCCAATTTTAAGTTATATTTAGTAGTGTTTCTCTGAGTAGTTTAAGATAATACCAGGAGTGCCGAGTGTGGTGGCACACGCCTGTAGTCCCAGCACTTGGGAGGCAGAGGCAGGTGGATCTCTGTGAGTTCAAGGCTAGCCTGGCCTACCTAGTGATTTCCAGGACAGCTGGGGCTACAGGGAGGCACTGCTTCAAAAAGACAAAAAATCAAAAAACAAAAAAAAAATTTTTCCTTGTATTCCTCCCAAATAACTCAGAAACTTAGAGATTATGTTCAAAATAAGTAACAATGAAATGATCAAGAGTCTTGGCCTTTTGGGTTTAGAAATTTATATGTCTGCTTGCTTTCATTTGATATATCACTTCATTCCCATTTGTACTGCTTCTCATTAACTTGAAAAGGAGAACATAAATGACAATAAATACTAAGAGAATTCATCTACAGAAATACATTTTTCCCTGGATGTGAACCTAACAATAGCTCATCAAGCAGTGCTTGATAAGCATCACACACACACTCCAAGTCTTCCTCTGTGGTCTCTGATTCTCAGAAGACCATGCTGACTACAGAAATTACAGTATCTTGGTGACACTGAGGTTGGTGGAATTTGTAAACCCCTGCATTGAATGCTCTTTATTTTTCCAATGGAATAAAAAAATGATACATTCTATATATGGATATATATATAAAATCAAATATTCTATGATCCTATGTAACACAGAGGTGAAAACATCAGTTATTATAAAGTCAAAACATACCAAAGAGTTTTAAAATTCTAAGGCAGCCCTCCATATTTGAGAGGGATAAAAATAAATATGCTTCTATCCCATTAATAGTTGACAAAATTTACTCATGAGGAGAGGGTACAATCAGACATTTTCAAAATGGCTGTTAGTAGAGGAAGCTGAAGATTAGGAACATGGAAGAGCACTGACATCACTCATCTGAGTAAAGCCATACAGAATGATTGAAAGTCAACTGCTAGTCCTGCTCTGTCACACACCTTTTCACTGATGTCTTACAGATGAAGTTTACTTAAAAAGCACAGAGATTTGATAGTAAAAGTTTAGGGACAAGCTAGCAATGAGAGACACTCATTGGCAGAAATTTGAAAATAGGATTTTCCAACAACTAAAATAGCCAGAGGATGTCATCCAGTTTCTTATCACTCTCACTTTTATTCTTTCTTCACCAATCACAGGCCTTTCCTGGGGTCAGGTGGAATTTTGAGTGTATTCACAATAATTTTCTTTGATCAACAATATCACTCATTAGACTTTTCTTTCTTTTTTCTTTTCCTTTCCTTTTTATTTTTGATTTCTATTTTCATGTTATAAGTTACCTGTCCATACTCCCAGGTAAAGCAGAAAAAGCCGGGAAAGCAACTAGATTAAACACACTGCCAAACTGTAAATTATTGATTAACTGGGCTTAATAAGAATAGGTTTAAAATGTTAAAAAAAAAAACCAAGAATGAAAAAGAAAAAAAAATATAACGTAATTGAACTAGTTGCTGCATGTCCTTTGAAAACTTTTACTTATAGTTAATTGGAAAAATATCCTCATTTAAAAGGCAAGTGAAATAATGCAGCAAATATGAGTTTAAATAACAAGTTTTGATGTATGCCCATGTATTTCTCACCTATCAGTGACAACAGTGGGCTACATGCATCCCTCATCAATCTTAACACACACACCTCACACTTATATTAGTGACGATTATCATGTAGTGTCTTGTCTTTATATTTTTTACTTCAGGGATATGTCATTAGTAAACAGCCAATTAGAAAGACTAAAGAAACACACTATACATATTACATTTAATCATATTTGTATTTTCTACATATTTTAACTTTAGAACAATGAATGAAGTTTTGAATCATCTTAAATGTTCACTGTGATAAGACACTAAATTAGCAGATTACAGGATATGCTAGGTATGTTGCACTGACCCTCTGTGACTTATTGCTTTTTCTGTCTATTGTCTTTTTTGCAACTTGTCATTTCCCTTATTAATTTTTCTCAACCAACTAATATATTGGGGCAATAATGCCTGACCCTGAGTCTGAGCAAACTACACATACTTCATTTTGTACTGGAACAGAATTTCTACTCTCCTTAGTGCCCTTTCTTTATTTCACACTTTCAGCAATTATTTGACAATAGCTGAAACTAAAACCTCCAGGGCTTTGTTATTTAACACTGAGAGTGAATAATGGGAGGGCACTACATGGAACAAGCAAGGAAGGTCTGAAAATCATGCCTTGAAATTTCAAGGAAGTTATTGTTAGTTAACAAGGAATTGAGGGGCAGAACAACATGTGTATTCAGAGAGGAATCCCACAACTGTTTACAAATACAGAATTCACACATTCAAAGATCAGGATTCTATAGACCACATAGGGCTATAGAATCATTTCTGTAATCGATTCAGGCAGTTTTAATACTGTTATTCCATTAACAATCCTTTCCTTTGGCTGAAGAGTTAACTCTCAATATGGTAGAATGTGACTGCACTGGGATGTTAACTGAAATACACAGGAGATCATTAGTCTATGGCCACCACCTTTTTCATTTCTTACTCAACAAACTGTAAGCTTTATGCAAACAAAGCCTAACACTAAGATTGAACAAACAGCAAAATTTTATACAATTACAAACAGGTAGGTTTCAGCCAATCACAGGCAGCCAGCTCATCACACAATGTCCAAATAAGGTAAAGTGGGTGTAGCCAAATTGTTAGGGGATTCCTCCACCTTGCTTGCATTTGACCTTTAAACCTCACAGCTCATATAAGTTGGTGACTGGGTGAAGCTCTCCCACCCTCCTCTGATTCTGAGTGCTGACTGACTTAGTAATTGTTATTTGTTCAACAAATAAACAAATAAGCACACCATTCTCCCCTTCTAGTGTCAAAGGAAATACTTAGGGGTAGGAAGGATTAAATAGGAGACAGAAGACAAGGGGGTTGGGAGAGGATCCACCAAAACTAAAGATGTCAGAAAAAGCCGTTAAGGAAATCTGATAGCTGGTAGAGTAACTAAAAAGTATAACACAAAAACAATGAGTTTGAATTGGAGTACCCTGGCTAGGTGGATGAAGCTGCTCCCAGAAGTCAAAGGGATATTAAATGAAAATCCCAGTGCCAGGGGTGGCTACTTCCCTATTAGTTGATGTTGTCAAGGAGGACCCAGAGGCCCCCAAATTAATACAGGCAATTTCTACTGGTGTTGGTTGCCCACTGGAACTAGATGGTAAGACCCTTATGCTGAAGATGCCACATGCTTCAGCCATAGACAATAGAGAAATTAAGGATTCTGAACCTGTGCTAGAAGCTACTTCCATGCTGGGTGAACCTCATTTTGCCAGAAGGCTCTATGCAGGCTTCGGGAGCAGGGGGTCAAGGTGGAGAACTACCTTTAACGCTCTTACTTTTGTGTGGTCCCTGTGTGCTGTACTACCAGCCTACCAGGCAAGATAAACCACTGGTACAATTGAGAAAAGTCCATTAAAGAGGAAACCAACCACTTTCTGATCAAATTTGAGGAATGTTCCACAGAAAGGAATTCTTATTTTGTGTAAACCTGGTCAAAAGCCCATAGCTTGGGAGGTATTAGGTTAGGTCCTACTGAGAAAATTATTGCTATTGTTTGCTGATACAACATGCCCATCAATTTTCCTCCTAAATAGCTATGCTTATGCCCACAAATTATTTTTTTGTCAGTCATAGACAGAAAAGCTTCTTTTTGCAGTGCAGTGTAATTACATAGATCATAATTGGTCAATGACAATAAGTAAGCCCTGAATGCTAATTCATAAATGGTACATCTATATGACTCCTCCTAATATTCAGGAAACATTGCAGAAGATGGAGAACAAAGAATGTAAAAGCCAGAGGAAAGTGTAGAGAGTTGGGGAACACTGTCTTTTGAGCATGATATATTCTTGCATCCAAAGCTCACCTCAGCTGTGATTTCTTACACAAGATTGAAGTACTTGTAGAGCCCAGGAAACAAGAAAGGGGGTATTGTTGGGGAGGAAGAAGGTCTTATGAAAAGGGGGTTAGTACACAGGAATGTCATAAAGGAAAAAAGGGGTTTTAAGTGAAAAGATGGATGGGAGGGTAGGACAGAGGAGGGGGTTGGTGGATAATTAACTCTAAAGATGTTTGAAAAAGCCACCTGGATGTATTTTATAAACTTCATACATATGAGCTTAATTGGAGATACCCTACTCAGGGGATTATGCTCATCTCAGAAGCCATGGGTTGGTAAATAAAAAGTCCAGTGCCAAGAACCCAGTGTCAGGTGTGTGATATCTTCCCTTGAGTTGCTGGTCAGAGGTATTCCCAAGACAATCCTCCCACACACAAGAACAAAAATCAATATAAGTTGTTGCTATTGCTCTGCTTTTCTCATCAGTACTTGTTGGACCCTATTTTGGAAGACAAAACACTGATCAGTCACAGGGCATGGAGAAATCAAGTTAGTACTGATCAGGAAGCTTCCTCTCTGTTGTCTAGATCTCGTAGTGCTGAAAGGTGCCATGCAGACTGCTGTAATAATGACCTGAGTGACAAGATATGCCCATGGGTACAATGGTGGCACAAATGTTATGGATGTAACCAACTGCTTTCTGATTGGCTTTAAGGTCTATTCCACAGGAAGAAACACATGCCTGGTATCGCAAACCTGGTCAAGAACCAGTGGTTGGGGAGCTCACATGCCTCCAGGGTGGGGGTGATCTACTACCATTATAATGCTAAATAGACACAGTATCAAACTGTTCTCTAGATTTATATCTCCCTATCCATAGCTTAGTGCAGCTCTCAGATCTCATTAGAGAAGTTTCTTTGTGCAATGGATAGTGGTTAATGCAGAAACTCAGAACTGACCAAAATGCAGAGAATAAGTGAGTATAGAGTGCTCAGCCACAAATGAGACATCTGTGTCTCCCCAAGGTTTAGGGATCATTGTGGAAGAGTGGGCAGAAAGATTCTAAGGGCCAGAGGCGAGGGAAGAGGAGTAAAATGATCTCTTCTGGGCATGACACACAGGAGCTATGGTTGCCTACATAAAACCTGTACACGATTAGGTCAGTCAATACTCTAGATGGAGGGGAAGGGGTTCCTGAGTCACCACCCCTAAATGAGGAGGAATTGAGAGCTGATGGCTTTTGAGGTGATTCAGTTTTCTCTAAGGGTGTGGCTCCTTGTAGGAAGACTCTCCTATAATGGACGGCACCACACCCAGAAGTATACAGACAGCACAATGTGGAGGCAATGGGTTATTAAAATTTTTTTTTTTTTTTTTTTTAGAAAAGAGGACTAGAATTTGTGGGGTATGGTTGTGGGGGTGAATGTTGGGAAAATTAAGGAGGAGTTGGGATGAATGTGATCAAAATACATTATATTAAATTCTCAAATTTTAATAGAAGTATCAGTAAAGTTTTAAATGTTGGGGCCCTAACACTATATTGTTAGTAGCAGAGAGAGGCTCTCAAGGTCCTACTACTTCATGAGGATCTATTTCCATTAGTGAAGCGAGAGCTATTTTCTTCAAATGTGTGGCCACTGGTAAGGTGCACATGTTCCTGTTAACCCTTCACCCATATTCTTATAAGCAATGCTAATGAAATGCATTGGGGAAAAGAAGGCATGAAAATAGAAGGCAGACTAGTTGGGAGGAGGAAGGCCGTTAGTGAAAGTGGGAAAGGGACAAGAAAGGGTAGTGAGGAATAAATACAATCACAATACATTATGTACTTGTGTGAAAATGTTATAATGAAGCCATTATTATGTATAATTAGTGTATGTTATTGACAATGTACAAAATACAAAAAAATATTTTGCTTTTAATCTAAGTCATTTATAATAGTAACTTGGGTTATTATGAAGCCACCAGAATTGTTCAGGAAAAAAGAAAACTAAACATACTAAGTGCCACCAGTAGTGTGTGTACATACTGTTGTGGGACCTAGAATTCCAAAGAGGCAGCAAAGAGGCAGCCAGCTGTGAGGGAAAGAGGCTGCAGGAAATTAACCCTATGGTGAATACTGGAATTCTGGATCCCACAACTGTGAAGAAAACTTCTTTCTGTTGTTTAAGCTACTCAGAATTTGGCATTTTGTTATGGCTATCCTAGAAAAAGACAAAAAAAAAAGAATTTATAAACGTTGTTTCAATCTCCAGGCAGGACAACATCACACTGAACAGTTTCTGTCTTTCAAATGCACTGAATCACACCTTATGGCCTCTTTCTCACAACCTAGTAGACATTTCTGAATATAAGTGTTAATAGTACTGAATATACTTAAAATAAGTTATATCCTGAACACATGCTAAGAGCAGACAGAGATTCTAAAAGTTGTTCTTTTCCCCAAAATTCCTAGAGTTTTAAATAATCTCTGAGAACACAGCAATTCAGGTTGGTCCCGAATGTTAAATATTCATTAAATAGACACTATTGTCAGTGGTTGAAGACTTGAGCATCATGACACTCAAAACATACCTTACCTTTGTTTTGGGTTCTAGAATTTTTACTCCATAAATTGATATTTGCAGCTCTACTTTGGGAATTTTCTGGCCTTCTGATTTCTTGATGTGCCTTGCAAACTACAAATGTAAAATATTCACAAAATTATAATTCCACTATTTTCAAAAATGAATGAACACAAATACAGATTTGGAGATTGTAGTCAAGTTAGACTTTCATTCAATTAATATTTCCTATCAAAAAGTATTTTATAGAAACAGTCTCAGATATTTAGTAATCACCTCGGTCAACCATTGTAATTCAGATTATTGTCATTAAGTGTTTCTCTTTTTTTCCTTTGTTCATTTGTTTGCTTTTTCTTTTTGAGATATAGGATCTTACTCTCTAGTTCAAGAACTTACTATGCAGCCCATATTGGCCTCAAATTATGGCAGTCTGCCTGACTCAGCCACCTAGTGTGGGGATTATAGGGATGAACCACCATGACTCACTAATCTTCATTAAACTTTTTTTTTTTAATTAAAAGAAGCATTTCATTACAACAGCATTAACCTATTCAATAACATTTTTCTGAGCTAGGGTACATCTCTTTCAAAATTGGCTGTACATTTTTACAACAAAATTTTTCATGCATTTTTATGTGACATTTGAAAAATTGAATTTATAACAGCAAAGAGAACAAACAAACATTTTGTGGATGGAGGTTAATTCTGTTTTTGTAAATTTTGTGTACGCATGTTGTATAATGCCCACAGCAGTCAGAAGAGGGCATTGGATCCCTTGGAACTGAAATTATGAATGCTTGTTATCTGCCATGTGGGTGCTTGGAGCCAAACCAGGGTCCTCTGCAAGAATGGCCAGTGCTATTAATGGCTGAGCCATCTCTCCAGCTCCTGTTTTTGTAGATACTTCTATTGTAATATATTCACAGATCTTGCTGTTCACCTGCTGCTGGATATTCTACTGTTGCTACAGCTAGATGCCTTTCCAGTTTAGTGTGGTGTCCTATCAATCAGGCAAATCAACAAAGGAGAACACACAGACTGCCTAAATCAAACCAAAGCTGAGACTTGCAGTGATTCTCCCTACAAAAGACTCCAGTGTAGAGACAGTCAGTCCCCAGTCATACAGCATCTTGAAAGCAAAAACATTCCCAATACTTTCACACAGCTGGTGCTGTGTCCTTTTGATTAAAGTAAAGTGTCTGTTAGTTTTGCTGGAAGTACTAAAAGAAAATCAGAGGTCTTAGATGGAGTTCTGCCTATCTCCCAATTTTGTCAGATTTATTGGTAGAAAACTTACAGAATCTCAATTAAGTCTGAGTATTAAACAGTGGGTATATTTTTAAACTCTTCATTTTAGAATACATATACACATTCCTATGTGCATATATATATATATATAGTGTGTGTGTGTGCATGTGTGTGTATGTGTGTTTGTTTGCTGTTTAGCATAAGTATGTTCCTGGTCATATTTGGTAATAGATTTCTAATTTTAATCATTGTTTACCTGAATTCACAGTTTACTAGCAATCCTGATTTCATCCGGCAAACCCTCTGCTGTCTCCCTGTTTTCATTTTTACTTCCCTCTTATTTTTAAGGAAGGGAAAAGGAAAATTTAAAAGTCATAAGGTTTCTACCCCCCCTCCTAGGACTTCTAAAAGTATTTTTTAGCATATGGAAAATCCCCTGAACTTGAATCTAAATAGCTCAGATGTGAGACCAGGCAGGGCTCCAGTGCTCTTGTGTCATATTTATTTGCATGGTGCAGTCCACTCTAATTTAGGGCAGATGTGAGTAAGAATGGTATAGCTGGTCCCAGGGCAGAGTGTTCAAAGCCTTCTTATTTCATGCCTTTGCACTGCCTCAGACAGTAACATAATTAATGCCTACAGAGTGCCTTGAAGTGTCTGCCTCTGTATCCCAGGGGATGCCATTTGTTTTAGTCCATTGGTGGTATAATTTTTCAGCTTGCTGTCTTTCTTGCATTCCTATGAATGCAGGCTGCTTAGCTCTTTTCTTTTTTGTCTCTAACAGTCTTGATGTCTGTACATGGCTCAACAATCTTGTGCCAGACACTTTCTTGTCTTTAAGAAACGTGCTTTGCTTCAGTGCAGATAAAAAAAAAAAACAGTAGATAGCCTGTTGGCTGCAGGAGCAGGTTTGTTCCTTAGTATATCTGTTTTCCACAAACACAAAAAGAAGTGGCTTCCAAAGCCATTCTATCTTGACACAACAAATCCTGTGACCTCTGACAAGAATTTTGTAACGTTTTATTTTATGAAAAGCCTGTCACAAAGCAGTCAGTAATATTACCCTTTCTGTTAGGAAGAAAATAAAAACGGAAGAAATGAAGCAAGGAACAGAGCTGGATTGATATTAGAAGCATGGAGAGAGGGAGAAAAAGAGGGAGATGGAGAGAGAAAGAGGGAGAGGAGGGGAGAGGGAGAGGAGAGAAACGGGGAAATTCCAGGAAGGAGAGAATGAGCTATTGATAGAAAGCACTAAGCAGCATCTGGTGTGAGTTCACAGATCCCTTCTCTGCTTCACATCAAGATGAAGCAATGCTGCTAAAAGAAGCTTCAGTGCTCACCCACCTAGACTCTGTTTCAAAGACGAAAAAAAAAAAAATTCCTAGAGAAGTTATGTGCCTTGATCACAACATGGGCTCATAATAACCAAACCCGGAAGCTGCTTTATCAGATATGGGACTCAATGACCCTCTTCCTTTAA